ACCCACCTTCATCATCGTCATTCAGTCGTGTCTGACTCTTCATGACCCCATGGACCAGAGCATGCCAGGCCCTCCTATCCTCCACTGCCTCCCGGAGTTGGGTCAAATTCATGTTGGTTGCTTCGATGATACTGTCCAACCATCTCATCCTCTNGATTTCCTTTAGAATTGATAGGTTTGTTCTCCTTGCAGTCCAGGGGACTCTCAAGAGCCTCTTCCAGCACCACAATTCAAAGGCATCAATTCTTCGGCGATCAGCTTTCTTTATGGTTCAGCTCTCACTTCCATACATTACTACGGGAAAAACCATAGCTTTGACTATTCAGATTTTTGTTGGCAAGGTGATCTCTCTGCTTTTTAAAATGTTGTCAAAGTTTGTCATCACTTTCCTCCCAAGAAGCAGGCATCTTTTAATTTCGGGGCTGCTGTCTCCATCTGCAGTGATCATGGAGCCCAAGAAAGTAAAATCTGTCACTGCCCCCATATCTTCCCCTTCTACTTGCCAGGAGATGATGGGACTAGTGGCCATGATCTTTGTTTTTTTTAATGTTGAGCTTCAGACCATTTTTTGCACTCTCCTCTTTCACTCTCATTACAAGGTTCCTTAAATCCTCCTCACTTTCTGCCATCAGAGTGGTATCATCTGCATATCGGAGGTTGTTGATATTTCTTCCGGCAATCTTAATTCCAGCTTGGGATTCCTCCAGTCCAGCCTTTCGCATGATGTATTCTGCATATAAGTTAAATAAGCAGGGGGACAATATACATCCTTGTCGTACTCCTTTCCCAATTTTGAACCAATCAGTTGTTCCGTATCCAGTTCTAACTGTTGCTTCCTGTCCCACGTATAGGTTTCTCAGGAAATAAATAAGGTGGTGAGGCACTCCCATTTCTTTAAGGACTTGCCATAGTTTGCTGTGGTCCACACAGTCAAAGGCTTTTGCATTGTCAATGAAGCAGAAGTAGATTTTTTTCTGGAACTCTCTGGCTTTCTCTATAATCCAGCGCATGTTAGCAATTTGGTCTCTAGTTCCTCTGCCCCTTTGGAATCCAGCTTGTACTTCTGGGAGTTCTCAGTCCACATACTCCTGAAGCATACCTTGGAGGATTTTGAGCATAACCCACCTTCACAGCATTTCAAAAGCTCTGACAGAGAAAGCTACAGATAGGGAAGACACTAGTGTGGTTCATCACATTTTATCCTCCTCCCCCTTTAATATCCTAGCTTCAACCTCTTCTCATCATGGAAGTGTTATCACATAAAATCTGTGATGGTCATCCCAATCTGTATTACATGCCAACTGTTGAAGCAGTGATAACTTCCAGCATTTATCATTATTCTTAACAATGACGAAACAAATAAAGGCTTACAGGCATTTGAAGCAGTTGAACTTATTTTCAAATATACGGGTGAGCTATAGCATTCAAAAAACTCTTCTTGGATAAGTTCATATCTGACACATACAAGATAACATCTATATAAGAAATGCTATCACATACTTCCTAAAACAAATTTATCAATATGTGAGTTTTGACATGAAATAAAACTGGATTTTTCAGTGGGTATATGTAAATGTGTAAACGTCCCCTGAGAAATTTCACTGATGCAGATTTTTTTTGTATTTTTGCTCGTATTTATTTCTGATTATTTATTTAAGTATATCTATCCATTCTCCTCAAATCACATTTTAGTATATATTAGAAAAATATGTCCATTCCAATACTGCTTTTGCAACTCCAGCCTTCTCTGGGCACTCCCAGATTCATGAAGGGGGGCTGGCTGGATATTTTTTGTTAGTCTCTGTGGCCCCCAAGTAATCTTTGAGGCAGAAAACTGGTCCCCATGACCAGCAAAGCGATCCACCTATTTTAAAGCATCTGTTTTAGAAACTGTAGTTGTATGGAAAATTATTGGATATTGGATAAATCAGTTAGTTAGCACCACCTAGTGTTTGATATTAAACACCATGCCTGTAGCTTTGAAAAAGATCCAAATACTGTAGGTCTAAACTAGAGCATTCTGTGTTGGGGGTCTAAAATATCCTCATATCAACCTGCATGAAATGGTTTTTATATGGAAACAAACTTGTACTTGTATTAAATCACCTTAAAATGAGGAATACAAAGTATTATTTTTTGGATAGTGAAAAACAGATTCCTCGGTATAAAGCATGGATTAACTGTTTTCAAAGATAGAAAAAGGTAGTTCTTTGGATTACACCTTCCATGACATCCCAGAAAGCATAATTTAGTGGCCATCCTAGTTGGGGTGCTCTGGGACTTGCACTTCAAAAAGTAACTTCCCAACTTTGACTATTTTTGTCAAATGTTTAGACATGACGTTTACTTTAGTATGTGCAATATGTATAAAACAAAACATTAGCTAAGCATTATGTTCAGTTCCCTTCTATTGTTTTTCATTAGTAAATTTCAAATGTAGCAAAACAGACATTAGCTAAAAATTGCATTTGCTAGAAATCAGGAGTAACTCTGTGCTATGTCCTTCTAATTACGTATAAGAACATAGTGGCAGAAACCCTATAGAAAGTAGAGCAGGCCCATTGAAGCCATGGAATTTACAAAGTCACTGACTGACCAAATCACTAATTCAGTGGGCCTACTCCAATTGTGATTTACTATTGGATTTCAGTCAATATATGTACAAACATTCAAGAGCTCTGGCAACTAGAAAGTGCCAGTGGAAGTAACACAACTATTCCAGATACTGTTTCATGAAAATCTAGGAAAGTCTACAAATATTACAGCTGCTTTTTGTCACATATCTTGACTTTCAATTCATCACATAAAATTGTTATATAAACGAAAACCAAATTTCTTTTCTCTGGATAATCTACAACCTGTCTTTTACAGAATCTCACCTTTAATCAGACTTGTAACTAGGACAAAGTGAGGGGAGCTTTACCCAGAGTAGCAAAATGTACTGCTGAAAGGTTGCAAACCTGCTTATTGGTACCCGCTGGTAGAAGGATACAAACCAACTCACCACAAGGATATGTACCACTTCCAGTTATTCTTCCTCAAGCAGAAGAAAAGACAAAAACAGGTAGGCTAAAATAGGAACCAATCTTGCCATTATGCATGGGACTTTTGAATTTTTCACCACAACCCCCAGAATTCACCAGGAAGTCCTCCAGTTGCCCTTTTCCACACCGGAAGAGGAAAATGAAGCCATTTGACTAGGAAAGTCCCAGTCCATGGAAAGGGTAAAGCGAGAACTGTAGCAGACACCCAGACAGGGCAATCCAAGTTCATAACCTAAGAAGCAATCCGAATAGTCAAAGAAAATCCAGGTAATCCAGAGCAAGGGATTTAAGTATACAGGAGGAAGGCAGATATACTGTTTCCAGCAAATTAAAGAGATCAATGAAGGCTGTTTTCTAGTTGTGCTTCTGAAGCCTCACATAGCTGCAGGTGTTCAACTGGCAAGGGAAGAACCCACCCACTTTGAACACCTGGAAGGAAGAGCCCACTTGTGAAATGACCACTTACTTACAAGAAGATCTCCCCTACAGCTGAGCACTCCACTTGGGGCCCTCAAACTGGACTTGTACCTTTAGCTTTCCTCACTCCTAAGGGCTGGGAGGTTATTCCATCACACCCTCAGACTCAGCTCCTGAGCTCCCATCATCCATAGACTGAAGCTCATGCCCTAGGTTTTCAAGGGTCAGGAATTGGTGGATTCAGGCTTCTAGTTCCTGGATGTCCCAGGATCTCCAGGGTCAAGTATGTTTTCCAACTCCATCAGGCTTTGGAGTCTGCAGTTCTTGAAGCTCTTCATTTGAAGACTCCTCTGTTGAGGCCATGACGCCAGTTATTAGCAAGAAATCAAAGTCCTCCAAAGTATTTTCAACCGCTCACAAATGTCAGCCTTGGAAAGACTCTTTAGTGACCTCAGTTTTGGCTGTGAAGAAGGTGGTAGTGGCTAGGAGTTGTTGAAGCTGCAGGGTAACCACTGATAAGTTTTTCTCCCCTGAGATGCACCCTGAACAGAACCTAATCAGCAGAGAAATTACCCACAATGACAAGATTTTCAGCCCCATAATTTGGCAGAAACACTCAAGCCAAATTATGAGATTGGGAGCCCTCAAATTGGCAGGAGGCAGAGCAGTGCTTTCACTTCCATGCCATTCCAGTGCCACTTTTTCAGACCATTAGAAAAGTGTCCCACCGTGGGAAGTCATGAGGAATCACTGCAACTTGCAGATGTACATGAGGGAACATGTTCCAACAGAGGTGGTCTCCATATTGAGTGCATACAGTAAAAGTGACAGCGCTTTATTTAGTAAATACTGTACAACATAATCATGCTTTTGTTGTATTTAGTCAATTTGCTTTTGGCAACCGTAATAAGGTTTTTGCAGTATGTGACCTGTTCAAGGGATACTATTGCCACTTGGAGTAATCTTCCATGGCCAAGCAAAGATTTGAAATCAAGTCTTCAGCCTCCGGTGGGGTGTCACGGATAGAGTGATGCAGTAAGACTCAGGAGTTCATCTAAAGTGATGGAGTAAGACTCAGATCTGGATTCAAACCCCTGCTCAGTCGTTAGCTGTCTCTCACACTGCCTGGGCTGTAACACTTGCTGCATGGGAAGAAATTTAGCGGGTAAAGCTTTACTGCCTCTCTCCGCAAGGAAAGGGTATTTATCATGCTACTGTTAAGAATACAAAAACCCTGTAAGAAACAATGGCAACACTACATATTGCTGAAGCACTATATGTATGTGTGTAAAATATGTAAACATTTATAATTTAATGGGTGCTGGAGAGGGGTTCTAATTCAAAGTAGCAGTTTTGAATAAAGAATCAAGGGAAAGAGATGAGAAAACGATTGTGTGCAGGAGGTACAACACGAGCGCTTTCGTGGAAAACTACACGTAACAGACACGTCGAAACCGAAATTAGGTTAGTAAGTAGAACGCCTTTTATCTGTTCCTGGGTCTCGTTACTAGGCAACCGGAGCTAGGCCAAGACTGGTGACGCTCTAGCTGCCGGGAAGAATCTTTATGGTGGTCACAAGGGGCCGCTCCGTCCTTGTCTCTCTGATTGGCGGGGGATTCAGGCTGATTATCGACTCCCGAGCCGAAGGGGAAATAACGGGAAGAGGAACTTGGTTCGGGCAACGCCTATGTGCAGGTAAAAAGCGGAATAATATGGAAGGGGGTTGGAAAACTGGAGCAGTTAAGCAGCCGCTATGTTTATGTCTCCAAGGAGGAGCGGTGTGGCTTCTTTGGGAACGGGACGATGATGTCCTGGAGCAGTAGCTGCAAATTGTAAATGTTTACTCAAGAGGAAGTCCTTCTGTACCCCTGTGCACGGCACGCTTGCATGAGTCTGAGCCCCACTGAGGACGGAGAGACTTGAGATCCGGACTGACAAACATGGATGGCATCTCACTGTTGAGACGATTGAGGCTGCAGTCGTTTGTCTGCGTCCCTGGGGCAATACTGTACGTTCCATTGAACTAAATGGGACTTACTTTTGAGTAGACGCGTGCAGGAGTGTCCTGTGAAGCTCTATTCTGTGCACATACAAGCGGGAATGAAATCTGCCAAGCATGGAAAAAATTACCGGTGGTTATCCATGCAAATAAGTGTTTTATATATAAACAATTCTATGCACATTTACCTAAAAGTTCGGTGAGAAAAATGGGGCATGAGTTTGAGTAACTAGACACAGTAATTAATAATGTGCCATCAAGTCGTTTGTGAGTTACGTTGATCTGTATAGGTTTTTCTAGCTCAGAAGTAGTCAAAGAGGCTTACCACTTCCTCCTTCTACTGATATTCTGAGACCTTGCAGTTTGCCCAAGATTGCATAGGTGGGAGCGCAGGTAACCCCATCAGTCTCCCTCCCTGGGTGATATTGAGTGGTACCTCTCCTGGGAAGCCTAGTGAAGATTTTAGTGTTTGGTTTGATGTAAATAGTGTGGTCTGATATTTTCAGTTTGAGGTATTTAAATGCATATTGTCCAGTACAGCAGTTCTTAACCTTTTCTTTACCACCGAGCTCCTTTAAATGTCTTTTGTTGATGTGGGCCACCAAGAACTACCTCAAGATTTAAGACCCTAAAATGCATCAAATATTTATTCAAAGTTTCTCATGAAGCATCTCATTGACAGATATTTCTTGCTGTAATGGCAACACCTTTTAAGATTATTGGAAGAAGATTCATTTTGCTTTGAACGGGATGCATCCTCATCAACAGAGTCAGTTCTTTTACGTTTAGAATTCAGCCAGTGATCTATTCTGAGGCTCAGCCAATATATATCATGACAAAACTCACTGCAATAATATTGAAAAGTCACTTTACTCGACAATAACCAAATGGTTTTATTAGTAGAAATTGAAGAAAAAACATGATAATGAAGTCTCTCTAAACACTCACTCACACTGACACTGACTGACTCAGACTCTCTCTTCCTGTGGCTTCTAATTGTCTACACAGTGGCAAGAAATGTCATGTGCTCTCAGCCACTCGGTGTCATTCACTTGCATGTTCCCACTGTATTCAGAAATATCAAACAGTTATCTGCTATCAATTATTTTCAGAGCTGATTTTTAATTTTGTTTGTTTTAATGGAGGTGATAGGTTTGAAAAGCCAAATTTTACACAGACAAGCAAGGAAAATTAATATTTTGTTATGTGCTTCCTTTTCTTTCATGCATGCATGCATACATTCTATTTTAACTGCAAGAGATCATAATATTTCTTCAAGCCTTTGCGGACCACCTGTGAGGACATCATGGCCCCTGGGGGGTCTGTGGACTAGAGGTTAAGAACCTATGGTCTAGTATACCAGTGTGACACTAAGTACTGTATTGCCATTCAGAATTATAAAGAGGAACAAGGCAGGGACCCCAATTGCTGAGAGAACATTCTCCCAAGAAAATCTATTGACCTGGAGTGGCAGTGAAATTGCTTCTAAAATACAGTACCTGGTTAATAAGTGCATATTTCAGGTGTTTAGTCTTGCTGAATGCAAGGTTCCCCAACCATTGTATTACTGTTGTTCCATAAAACGCATTATTCTGCATAGCTTGGTGGCTTAGGCATCTGGCTGTGGAGCCAGAGGTTGGGAATTCAGTTCTCCAGTGTGCCTCCTTGACAGGGGCTGGACTCATTGATTCATAGGGTCCCTTCCAGCTCTCCAGTTCTAAGGTGGTTACTGCATAGATTATTTCTGCATCTTCTCTTTTTTTCTAAGGTGGTTATTGCATAGATTATTTCTGCATCTTCTCTTTTTTCTAGTAACCCTGATTGACTTAACCCTGATTGACTTAATATTCCAGCACATGATAGTTTGGAGTTTTGTTTTGTTTTTGTAATGAACACGGCTGGTTAAATGTACACGTTTAAGATTAAAGAGAAACTATGAAACAATGATGTTTTGGAACAGTGAAGATTCTTTTGTAAAATGAGTAATCTATAAAAATAAGGAAGTGATTGGCAACTTATGAAGTTAAACACTCTGGTCTTGTTTATATAATATAACACACACACACACACACACATTCGGACTAGACAAAACAGTTTTCGATCTGTGGTAGAACACAGTGTGTGCTGTTTTCTTGAGAAAGCTCAGAAAAATAGAATGATCTCATTTGTATGAAGAGTGGCAGACAAAGTCCAGATCTTGCTGAACTGTAATTCTGATTAGTTGTAGCCGGCGTAACCAATAGCAAGGCACAAAGGTACATCAGCATGTGGAAGGTTGCAGTTTCTCCTGCTCGCCCCCATATATGCCTGTTTACTTTGCCTGGGTAGTCATATTTTTGATTATTGTCATTATAGTGTATCCCTATTCTGTATGCACATCCAAAGAAATAACAGACAGACAGATGGGTTAATCTATACAGCTACGTACAGTACTCGTTCCCATTTGGCTCTACCACTTGGATAACCACCTAAACCAGGGATGGGCAACTTCCTAGGCTTGTTACCTCTGCCAAAACATTGCTGTTTTTTCTCACATCAAAATCTCAGCAGTACACGGGGAGCCTGTACTGTTTCCCAGCAGAATCACACTCATAACAACTCTAACAGTACAATGTTTCAGGGAAGCAAAGTCCATGCCTCTCCACATGTTATGATACTTGACAATAGAATAGTAAGATTTAACAGAGGCAAGGATCCAGGGACCATGTGTGGTCTTCTGAAACTTATGGTGCCCATCTAGGCTAAACAAATAAATTATGCTATTTTTAGTACGGGAGGAGGCGAAGTGCAGCCCTACGGTCAGAGGTGCCACCAAGGCCATTTTTTGGTGGCTCAGTCTTATTCTGGCAAAAGGAGTTACAGCTCCTGAAACTTGGTGACACACCTTTTAAATTGATTAAAGCAGCTCCCTGTATCATTTAGCATCCCAAAATATCAATGCCAGAGTCATCCACACTTGATTTAGTGTGTCACCCATACCCAGGATCTTTGGCTTGTTGCTGCCAAACAAGCCAGAATTTGTAAACAAAGATCCAGTCCTGGCTTATGGTCCTGGCTTTTAAAGGAGGCAAGAATTAGTTGAAACAGATTTGTTTCAGTGTCACACATTTATGTGGAAATGTATGTGATACTTGACCCTAATTCTTACAAAATGTAATGGTTTGTATTAGTAAATGAAAGTTTCTAACTCATGATAGTTTGGAAGTCTCTGTTCTAGAAAAGCAACTTAAATCATTAAAAACAATAAATGGAAATGTTTATTACTGTTTAATTCATAGAAGTAGCTTGCATATTTGTACTGGCTAGTTCTATAGTCGCTAATTCACAGAGCTGCCATAAAAAGTCAGAATTTACTCGCTGGCACATAACAGCAACAAAGTCCTCTATTTTCTCTCTCTCTTTTACATTGTCCTATTGTTTCCTTTCACCATTTGTTTTTATTTCATTTTCAAGCATCGAAATCCTTAGATAAATTTAGAATCCTGACATGGATAGTTAATTTACGGATTGATGTGTTATGGAAGGACCACTGTTCTGGATTTTAGAAGAATACTGCAGCTGAACACTTTACAGTATTTAGTGCCTGAAATGAGGACTTTGAGAAGTATAACACTCGAATAATAAAGAGATAGAAGAATGAATTTCACTGATGCATTTGTGGGAATGTATTTTTCACAAGTGAAAAAAAAAGAATTTCAAACAAGCAGTTGCTATTATTATGGTCCTTTTTCAGGAAGCTATCTGGAACTAAGCCCCATCCCTGTCCTTTAGCAATCCCCATAATCAGAGTCACTCACTGGTGGGTGGCCAAAAATGGATAGCTTTTAAATGGAAGAGCAGGTGAAACTCTGAGGAGTAACATCTAACTTGTTTTAAAACTGTCAGTGAAGAAGAGTTCACCAACCATTGTGGCAGTTGTTCCATTTTCAAATGGTTCTTACTCTCAAGAAGTTCTTAATGTTCAGACAGAATCTTGTTTCTCATTATTTAAATCTGTTTTTTGGGGTCCTACATTTTAGAGCTACAGAAAGACCAGCTTGTTCTATCTGCCACATAAAGCCATTCAACTATTTGAAGTTGGCTATTGTATTGCCTTGCAGTCTTCTCTTCTCCAGGCTAAACATAGCCAGATCCCCTCAATCGTTTATTTCTAGATGCTTTACCATCCTGGTTACCCTCCTTTGGACAGCTTGTCAATATAATTCCTAATGATTTCTGACTAAAGCAGAATGGTGCTATTGCTTCACTCTATCTGAACATTATACAAATTCTCCCTTATAGGCCAGTTCTTTACGTTACGTGGAACTGCCCCGGAATGAAGCCTTCTCAAATTGGTTTGTCATATCTAATAACAAGACAGACCACTGAGAACTGTTATTTTCTTGAGAAACTGAAATACAGATAATAAAATTAGAGTCTATCGCTTCTTCTTGTAGTAAACTTCTGAAGTGATAGTTGGCCAGAATATTGAGCAAAAAAACCCTTTTCTTAGACGTAAGGGGAAATATTAATAATACTAGATTTTGAATGGCAATGGAACTCTTTTACTATAGTGCAGAAGCAGGTGAAACCTTTATTACACCACTAAAAATCATACAGTCTGCTAGCTTTCCTGGATCAAAGTCCAGTTCCTCCGATACGTACCAGTGTCTTGTTGATAATACAGAGAAATTAAGAACCTGAGACCCCCTGCATT